TCTAACCACAGCGGGGTGCAAGGGGTTTGGTGCGACCCCCACACTACCCCCATAGCTGCCAGACTCACACGCTGCAGCCACCAAAGCCACCTCTGAGACTGCAAAGTGAGGGGGGGCGGTTGGGTTCTGCTGTCCCAATAAGGCTACATAGCAGCCAGTGGCAGGACCAGGCCCTGCAGGGGCACTGGGCTCTCTCTACGCTCTGTGTAGGCAGAAACTGCTCTTCCCTTGTCAGCAAGACAGCTCACTACTCAAAAAAATGAAGCTTGGAAATGCCTGATGCTCAGCAGCTCCTTTTCTGCAGGCAGAGGCAGTAATGAGAAGAGGGAAGCTGCTGATCCTCAGTGCATGCAGGGTGTCCTCTCTGCTAATGCAGGCAGCCCAGGAAGCAGGAGAAGCATCATCCTTTGCAGGCAGTAAGAGGACTTCAGAACTCCAGTATGCCTGGCAGTCTGCTGTGCTAGAATGAGTTACTGTATGAATTTGGTAGGCACCAGCCTCCCTGCTGTTCACGCGATTATAGCTCATTTGAGAGCATCATGCCCCCTCCCTGCAAGGAGTCTGTCGTTGCTGAAGGCACCACATGAATCTCCTCACCGTTGCCTCCTTGGCCACCTCTCCTCCCAACCAGACTCTGAGGTGACAAAGCGGCAGGCAGACACGCTCCTCCTGCAGGAGCAGCTTGCCAGGCAAACATGATGCAGCACAGCCCCAAGAGCTGCTGGACCCCCACAGTAAAAGCAGCCACGCCAGGAGAAGCTGTCAGTCTCTACTCATGCACACCCGTGCCCCAGCTCAGTGACAGCGCTGCTTAAGGCATCTCTTGTTGCTGCTCCTTATCACAGAGCTCCTGGCATCTTCTCCCCAGGGTGTACACCCACACGTACACTTGGAGATCTGGAGAGGTTTCGCAGCAGGGAAGGAGAGAGCATTCCCTTCCCCTTTGCCATTTCCCAGGAAGGGTGTATTTGTCTTACCTTGCCAGGGAGGAGAGTCTCACTGCCTGCTTCCAGTCTTTCTCCACTGCCACAGCCCTGCTCAGACCCAGCCCAGCAGGAAAACAAGGACATTGCAACCACAGCTAAAGGGTGGCTTTATAAACTGCAAAAGAAAGGAGCATCAATGCTTCCCTGGAGGGGGAGAAAGTCCTTGCAATCAAACGGTAGGAGCAGCAAAGCCATGTTTGTGAACTGCTCTGGGATCAGAAGCAGCCCTGCAGGGGAGCATGAAGTACCTGTGTCTCGTTTGAAACTGCAGGAACAGGGCGACTGCCCCAAAGCTGGACTCTTGCAGAAACTATTTACTACTGTATCTGTGTTCCCTTTTATTCCTGAGTAAATTGTACTGACTACCTGGGCACCCCAAGAGAGCAGACCACCGGCTGAACTAATTGCTGCAAAAGGCAATTAGCACAGCCCAAACCTTCAAATCCAGAGGGGGGGAAAATCCACGCTCCTGCCTTGGAAGGGTGGCAGCGCCCAGAGACCTGAGGCTGCGCAGCCCACAGGGATGCTGCAAGACGGTAATTGCACCCTGGTCACGGACACTGCAGAAGCAGCCAACTCAAACAAGAAGAGAAATTGCTTTTACGCAGTTACTTCATGCCCACAGACACTGTGCTACAGACTTCACACACGCCACCCCACAAGTCTTGCAGAAGGGGGGCTAGTTTCCCTTTGAGGGTGGAAAAGGGTGACTGGAGCCACACTGCACCCCAAATAAGGAGGAGAATGGGACAAGTGTGAGGAGGGGAGTTGCAGGGATTTCTCCTTCTGCCCTGGTGGCTGTTTGGGACAGAGCATATGCCAACACACTTGTGGGTTTCTTCAGCAGAAGTCCCAGCTCTGAGCCAAGTGCAGGCCAGGCCAAGCCCCCAGCCTCAATCTTGCATGACCAGTGCCTTGCTGCAGCCTGAAAATCAGGCACACTACTGGGCCGGGGAGGAGCGACCTTCCCTTCAAGGTGAGGGAACAGCAGCGTGGCCTGAACTGTGCTTCCCTGGGGCTTGGTGACACTACGGCCCTGCTGCCTGCAGAGCCAGGCAGCTCGAATTAGGTTCACTTGAATTACAGGGAGTGAATTCACAGTGCACTGTGCTGAGCCCTGAGAGCCCCCGAGTGGCTGTGCCCGTTAGCTGCAGGCAGGCATTTCCATCCGGCCCCATACAGGCATATTTGAAACTTGCAATGTGTAATTTTCAGCCTTGACTCTCAAAGGGTAGTAACGAAGGGCACACATCTGCTCCCTCTTTTTGACATGTCTGTGATACAAGGTGGCTACGAGCTTCTCCACAGCACATAGAGCAAATACTCGGCACACACCAGCACACAGCACCCACACACACCCTGTTACCCCACAGTGGTAGAAAAGGCAGCCTCACTGCAGTAGCCCATCTACGTCCTTGTAGTCAAGTTGGAAAGGGGAAAAATTTCCACTGTCTTTGGGTAAGCAGAAACAGGGTGCAGGAGAGCAAAGCAGACCCCCAGGCCAATACATACCCTTAACTGGTTGTCTTAAGCAGACCAGACTGGTAATCACAGGCAGCAGCTGGGCCAGCAAAGGCCCTGTTCTCTCTGCCTCGGTGCTCTCCACAGGACAAGAAAGTGCACCCTGCGTGAGAGGGCTCGGAGAGGTCACCAGGTACCCCAGCGAGCACAGCGCAGTGTACCACAGAGCTGCAGCAGGGCTGGCTGCACACTCCTCCCTGCACAGACCACGGCTGAGGTGCAGTACCTGGCACCTTGAGGTCCTGACTTCAGCTCTCAGGGAGCCACATGGAGGAGCGCTCTGCAGCCCCCGTGGCAGCAGATCACAACCAGGTTTCCTTCTCCGCCTGGTCCCTCAGACCACCTTCTGCTGCTGCCGAGGAGCGAGCCCCTCAAGGACTCGAGGAATCCATGTAATGCACACACCTCACAGGAGCCCATCAGTTTTACTACAGAGAGTAAGTACAGAATCTTAAGCTTTATTTTTCTATTGGTCAGCAACTTAAACTGGGTTAAAAAAAAAGGCAATTAATATTATTACAGAGAGAAAAAGTATAAAACAACTCAATGGACACAAGCGAACTTACTGTCCGCATCTTCCGGGCCTCTCCCAACCCTGTTTAACATATCTGAAGGGAATGGGGGAAGGCAACTACGGAAATATGCTTAAGAAAGTAGAAATACTGCTTCAAGCAACATGCTCAATATATTCCTCTTAGTTAGTAGTCAATACTTGTCAGGAACTTGATTATAAACCAAGAAATAATTTAGAGATTTATCCTTTAGATCATTACACAATAATTTAGATTTCTTTCCCCTCATTCCTACTGCTGTGCAACCAAGGATACACCTCAGTTCCTCCACCTCTTTCTGCATTAGTTAAGGATTATTTCATGGGGCTGATGTTGATGTGGGAGTTTCCGATTGACCTGCTCTGAGTTTTAACTTGTCACCCTTTAGTGCCAGTCCAAGATTTCTGCTCTGTGAAGTAAAAAACCCACGATGCTGCAAGACCCTTTAGGGGTCTGGGTGATTTTGCTCACGTTAACTGTCTGCTGCCAAGGGACAGGGCTCAGCTGGCACCACTAAAAGCCCAGGATAGGGAATGAATGTTTGTTTATAAAAGGGCTTGTCTTCACTGCTTAGAAACTCCAAAACCCCACAGCCCTTTGTGCTTCATGGACATAACAGGCATGCCAGGAAGGTGAGAACAAGAGGTACACAAGATCCTACAAATTCAGGCTAAGACACTGTTGGCATCACTACGGCACTAAGTCCATAGCAGCGGTGATGCCTGTCCTGTACGTATCCAAGACCCTAATGTAGCGAGAATATTTGATTAAGCATACTCCTCTGCAGCAAGAAGACAGTTAACCCCACACTACCAATTTATCAAGTACACTGGGGCAACTGGTTGAAGCTGACTGTCCTGACTTTCTCGGTAGTAACCAGTAAAGTGGGCTTCCAGATCTCATTAAAACCAGAAAACACTCAGCTGACGAATGAGCTCTCTGGAGGCTGATAAAACATTTGTATGTATTAATTTCCTGACTAAGAGAGACAAGCCTAGAGGTTTTAATTAGAAAAATCAAACCCAGGGCATCTCTCAACATATGTAAGAAAGTATTTCTACTAACTGAACAGGCTAAAGGGGTAGCAAGATATGTCAACTCCAAAAACAGACCAGTTCTTCACCAAACCTCAGCAGGGGGTTTGACAGGAGGAAACAACTAAAACATTTTCCCACTCACACTGGAATGCACTCAGTAAAACAGACTAGACCCAGAAGAATCAGAGGGCAGTCCATCATCTTTGCTCCAGAATCGCTAGGAGGCAAAAGGCCTTTTGTGGCTCCTAATGGCAGTGTTGGGGGAAGCTTCAAGGAAGAGGAGGAAGGATTGCTGATAAACGGTAAGGCACCCACGTCTTGCTAACATCAGAGTGTCAGGACAAGATTTCAACGGCATGAAGTTGTGGCCTTGATCAGCAGGGAGAGTGACGCCTGCCCCAGGCAAGCAGGCAGGCATCCTCTCAGGCGGAGAACAGCTGCGTTAGGACACTGGTGCACACTCGAGAGGAGGGAGAGAAATCTTCCATGTATGAGAGACAGCTCTGGCTCTAGCTTAGTGCAGAAACATCGTCTGTCGTCACAGTCCATGTCTGGTGTTGCTGAGCCACTTCTCAGAGAGCAAACCATCCAGCAAAATGGCTCTGGATAAATCTTGCTTTGTACTCATATCAAGGGACTGTTTTGCTAAAGCTTCCAGCAGAAGATCCACAGCTCTTGTTTCTTGACAGCAAAGAGGACCTG